TAGCTAGTGGGAAGCAGCCGCATAGCACAGGGAGATCAACTCGGTGCTTTGTGACCACCTAGAGGGGTGGGATAGGGAAGGTGGGAGGGAGGGAGATGCAAGAGGGAAGAGATATGGGGACATATGTATATGTATAACTGATTCACTTTGTTATAAAGCAGAAACTAACCCACCATTGTAAAGCAATTATACTCCAATAAAGATGTGAAAAAAAAGAAAATAAAAACCATCAAAGGTGTAAGATAGAATTTCTTTATACAGAGGCACATTTATAGTTCTACATGTTGTATGTTTCCAATTTAGATTTTTCTCCATATAAACACTGTCTTATAAAATTTTTATAAAATTTCATTGCTTAAGACTTAAAAGTGACTATTTGGAAAGGTTTTGTTTTTGTTATTTTTTAAATGAAATTCATACTGTCTTAGTTTAAAAAATTATATACATAACTTCCCTAGTGACTTTGATTTTCCTAAAATAACTGTGAGCTGTTCTTATTCAACCAATCAATATATATTTATTGTCTTATTCTATTTACCAAGACTATTAGGTTCTGACTATTCTAATTTATTTGACCTTGAATCATTGCTTTACTTGGGCAGCAGAAAAATAATAATAATGGTAACACATCTTGTTTCGTTTTTGTTTATAATTATATTTTAGTTTTTCTGTTTGACCAATACTATCTTGTTCTCTATTTTAAAGTTTTTAATTCTTTAGGGATCGTAGTCCTTCCTCATTTGCCATTAGTCCTGTGTTTTGTCCCATCATGCACTTTTTCCTTTTTCTTTTTCAATATTCTTCTGGACACTTAATTTGTGCTTTAGTTATATATATCTGGTCCTTGATAATTTTTCTTAATTTTTGAAGAAAATAATTTCTTCCCTAAAAAGTGTTAAAAGCAGAGCTCACAGAGCCAAATCTTTTTTATTTCCCCATCTCTCAATAATTTTGAGCAACCTCAAACAGCAAACTTTGCTTTACAGTGCTGGGTATAGCGGGAAGTAAATAAATCATTATGCTTCCAGACCCCTCCTAGTCTGTAAAGTTTTAATGGTTTGTCTTTGTCCTATTTATCCCTAATATTAAAATGATAAGATGTTTTCTTCTGAAATTTCAGAGAGTAAGTGCTACTTTGTACCATACCACATCCTGCATCCTGTAGATCAACGTTGGATAACCAGTACCACAGTCCTCTAGTGTGCTCTCATTTTTGTTTTGAATTTCTTCTACTGAAGAAAAGCCAACCCCAGGCTTTTAGTTTCTGATTAGAGTTCACTTTGGATGTCACTGTGCAGATCCATTGATCTGTGAAGTTGAATAATCATCGGAATAGCTTGATCAAAATAAGTGATCTTGATCAGACATCAGGGAAGTTTTGAATTTGGAAGGATCATCAGGGACCATCCATTCCCATGACCTCATGCACTACAGGTGATAAAAACTGAGCCCAGAGAGAACAGACTTGCCCAACTTCGTGGAAGCAAATCCAGTTGTCCAGTACGCTTTCCATTTCATCTCACTAGACTAAGCTTTTTAAAAATGGTTTTCAACCTCTTTTTCCTTAAGAATTATTTTTATTCCCCTCCCCCAACCCGAAAAGTCTGGATAAAGTGGTTTCTCTCATCTATTACGAGAGTCCTGCCATTCTGTCCTCTGGTTCAGTGGGGTAGCTTGTGTTCTCTTGATCTTGAATCAACATAAATGATGTTCTTTGATTATTTTTCTTGTTTTACTCCTGCTCTGCAGAAGAAGAGCAAGAAAAGTTAAAGGGAAATTACAATAGCTTCTGGCCTATCCTCTGTTGACTCATGTAAAAATACTTCTTTCCAGGTAAATATATCTCTGCTTTCTCTCAACAAAACAGCTGGAGCTATAAATAAGATGATTTAGAGGTATTTGTAACCCCCATATGGCCTTGTACATTGTGTTTAATACATTTCAGCTGAATTATTATTTTGGCTATTTATTAAGGCAAATCATCATTTGAAACTGCATGGCTAAAGAAAAGCACAAACTCAAAAATAGCAAGAACTATCCCTTAGTAGTGTTGTACTTGTACCTTAAAGTAGCCTTTTTATGTGCATAGAGACACCGGAAAAATATCCTTCCCTACTCTTTTCCTACACCTCTACCCCATCCTCCTCACACACAGCTTTCATAAACTATGAGCCCCTCACTTGGCTCATTCTTTTTTTTTTTTTTTTTTTTTTTTTTTTTGCGGTACGCGGGCCTCTCACTGTTGTGGCCTCTCCCGTTGCGGAGCACAGACTCCGGACGCGCAGGCTCAGCAGCCGTGGCTCACGGGCCCAGCCGCTCCGCGGCATGTGGGATCTTCCCGGACCAGGGCACGAACCCGTGTCCCCTGCATCAGCAGGCGGACTCTCAACCACTGCGCCACCAGGGAAGCCCCACTTGGCTCATTCTTTATATTACAAGTTACACTATTTTCAAAGCGAGGTTTGCATTTCTTATACTTAATCCAGTGATATCTGCACTGTGTGTGTTTCACAAATAAACTTATGAATGATGAAGTCCTCTTTCTACAAAGGCACTCTTGTCAACGAACGTACCTTGGGATTTGATGCAGAAACTTCTTCTATGACTATAATTGTTACCAACCTACACATTAAAGGATCAGTGATCTGTAAGCTTCATACTTGCCCAGAAACAATCAATAGTTCAGCACTTTAAGAAATTCAAAAAACTAAACAAAATTAATACACTGGAGAGTTTAGAAACATGCTGTGAACCAATGTTTTAGAAATAATGCATTATGTAAAAATTAAACTAGTTTAACTACAAAATTTAAGAAGGCGCTATTTTCACTTATCCGTGTAACTCTCATACCATGCCATAACCATGTCATCAAATGCCATGGGAATATACATCTTATACCGATGCTTTGTATGCTTTTTAAGGTGATTCTTTGATCCTTTATTCATCAGTGTTGAAAATTCACAAAATTCAATTTCCTTAGTCATTAAAATATTTTTAATGGGTTTGGACAAAGATTTAGGAATGGAAGACAGTTCACAGTTCAAAGTGTTTGATTTGCTATCATAGACAAATGAAATAGATTCTAAAGACTGGAAAATTCCACAATGGACGGAAATGTCTAGAAGCACATCAATCAGGCAAATTCCATGAGAACTGACCTGACTGTGCCCAGTTTCCCCCATGAGCTACAAAAACTTTAAGAATTTAGAAACAACAGAGTTATAATGATATTCTTGCTTGACTCCTTTATTTTACAAATGAGAAGGTAGAGGCCACAAAAATTGTATGACTTGAAGTAGCCAAGAAGTAGAGTCCAGGTCTCCTGACCCCGGCTGGGATTTATTCACTGCTCAAGTGTAATAGATGGTTACAACCCCGAGAGCTTATAGAACATGGAATGACACCCGTGGCACCAAACCAAAAATGACTAAGTTAAATTGGTTAATTCATTCAATAAGCGCTCATCAATTTCCAGTTAAATATAGCTCAGGGCCACTACCTTGTTTCTTTAAAACTCCAACAGCAGAAAAAGAGGTTCATTCTAGGGGTGAATAAGGCCTTCAGTGCAGTATCCGAGTTAAACGTTAATAACAAACCAGCAGACATACAAAATTAAGATAAAACTTGTAACAAAAATCAGACTGTTTAAAAGAAACCAGAATCACGCAAACAAGTCCTATAACAGTATTTCTTCACGGAACCAAAGTGTACTACAACCAGATGTGTTCTTCCTAACCCACTTGTAAGAATAAGACCTACTGGGGCTTCCCTGGTGGCGCAGTGGTTGAGAGTCTGCCTACCGATGCAGGGGACACGGGTTCGTGCCCCGGTCCGGGAGGATCCCCCATGCCGCGGAGCGGCTGGGCCCGTGAGCCATGGCCGCTGAGCCTGCGCGTCCGGAGCCTGTGCTCCACAGCGGGAGAGGCCGCAACAGTGAGAGCCCCGCGTACCGCAAAAACAACAACAACAACAAAAGACCTACTGAAAACGTAGAAGGTTGATAACATCTCCGTTTGAAAAAATATGTACTCTAATATAGCAATGAGGTAGGTTTAGACACTACTTTTTAAAAAATTAGTTTTTCTCTGTTAACACATAGAAACTACCTGAATGCAAAGTAAGTAATCAAAGGTTATGCTAATTTTGTTTGCCCTAGTTTGGCCAAATCGTTGCTAGCATAATATTTGGAACTAATGTTTAGATTTCAACGAAGTTTCCTTTAACGATAAGGAAAAAAAATTCCGTCCTGACCTTGGTCTGCCAACTTCAGCTTGCTGGATTTTGAAATGTGTGGCCTGAGAGAGCTACAAGGTCTTGGATTATTGTACAGGGCTTTCTTAGGAAGTCTTTGCCTTACACAAACCTGCTGCCAAACTCGCCTGTGGCGCATATATCCTTACTGGAATTTACTGACCTATTATTTCATATACAGATAGAGATATAGGTATAGATATAGATCTATCTATATAATAATATATATAAATAATAGATAAATCTGTCTGTAAAGCAAAAGAAATTCTAAGACTTTGGAGTCAGTGCTTGCTTGTCACAACCTACTAACCTATAGATTTCTCCTTCAGGTGTTTCTAGAACACTTGGGGAAGAATCTGAGACAGGGCAGAGGTGAAGAAGAGAAGGTGACTTAGGAGACAAATGCCGGAGATCACCACTCCCTGGACCAGGAGTGGGTGGCACCAGAGCCCAAGGGCTGGGAGGGAGGGCGAGTGGCCAGCAGAGGTAAGGCCAGAGAGTGACAGCCAGAGAGCGACAAAGGCGGAGACGGGGAGGCCGGCAGGCGGGCGCGCGGCTGGGGGGAGTGAGGGGTTGGTGGGGGAACCGGGGGGCGGAGCCGCGGGGCGGGGCGGCGGCGGGAGCGGGAGCGGCCGGGAGCCCAGGCGGCGACGCAGCCCCAGTCGGACGGGCGAGGGCGAGGGCGAGCGCCGGGCTCAGCGCCGCTCCAGCTCCGGCACCGCGCTCCTGCCCACCGCGCGGCCCGCGGCGGGCGGAGTCCGCGAGAGTTTGCCCCGGAGCTCGGGGAAGTTTCCCGCCGAAGCTCCGCTCCCGTGAAAGCAGTCCCTGCCGGCACCCTCAGCTCCCCTAGCCGCTCGCCAGGTAACCGCCGGGGGTCGGGGCGTGGGGGAGGGGGTCCGGGATTGGAGGGGCCGAGATTGCGGGGGCGCCGCTTGCACCCTCGGTAGGAGAGGGGTCTGGGTGGGCGGGGAAGCGCACCCTCACCTTTCCAGGTACTCCATCTCTGATGACTGCAGAAGGCATCTTCTCTTTCTACCCTAATCCCCTCCCCCCCCATTTGAACCCACGCCCGTTCACTTTATTGATTGTGCTGAGGGGAAAGGGGGTCCGGGAGATGGAGGGGGTGCGAAGACTTGGAGAGGGGAGGCGGAGGAGGACGGGTGCCTGAACTCGGGAGCTACCTGTGCTGGATTCCTGAGCCCCGGCGGGGCGGGTCACCCTGCACCCCAGGATTCTGGTGCCAGCCCCCACTCGGGGCAAGCCAGCCGAGGTTGGAAAGAAGACATCAGGAGGAACGGTCTTGAGTTTCTGATGGCGGTTTATCCGGTCCTCCAGCGTGTTTGGCAGAAAGATGAGCATCTCGGCTGTGATGCCCCTTTTTGCATCGGTCCCAAACTCCGAGACCTCGCAGAGGCTCTTGCTGAGGCTGCGGGCCACGTGGAGGGAAGTGCGGAGACTCGGAGCCCAGGTTCCATCCGGGCCGGGCAAAGGGGTTGGGGGTGCCCTGGGGAGGGGCCCGAGGTGGGTGGGAGAGAGTAGGAACTGCGTGGTTGCTTTGTTGCCGCAGCTGTTACTTTCACACGGTTACCTGCTCCCGCTTCTGCCCCGTTTCAACATCCTGCCTATCAGCGTGTTTCTGTTAGGAGGCTAAAAGGTGTTATGTTTGATGTCTGTCAGCAGTTATTTCCAACTAAGTTCACAGGAGCGATGCTGGAGCGGCCGCTGGTTCTCCCTCCTCTTCCTGCAGGTCCACCCCCAACTCCCTCGCATCAGCAAACCTGTCCTGAACAGTTCCCAGGGTTTTCAAAGGGATAGGAAGTAAATCATACAGAGTGTGTGCTTGTGTGACTTTTCCCCCATTATGTTATCACGAGCAAATCAAAACACTGTGGATGTTTAATAGGACTCTCCTTTAGCAGTTTTTGTAGTAATTAAGAGTATTATTTACCAGTATTTATTTTTCTTTAGTTTAAGCCCAAACATTGCGTTAACCTCTCTGTATACAGTTTTATCTGTGTTTGTCACTATTCCATTGGGTTTAAAGGACGTGGACTTATTTTAGACTGACATATATATACACACCAAAATACAGTGTGACTGTAGTTAATATTTATCTGTCTTCCTAGTTCGGTGGCCTGGCACCTGCCAGTTCCAGTACATAATTATAGTACAATATGCCTGTCTACCAAATTGAGAATAAGGAGATTGTCATTGCCTTTCATGGGCGAGAGTACCCTGGACTACCAGATTTTATGATTGCTCAGAGGGTTTTTAAGGCTTCAATCAGCATGAATCTGATACACAGAACAAAATTACAGTTCTTCCCCATGTATCCAAAAAAGGATACAATACCCGGGCACTGGTAGTTGACTCATTATTGAGGAAAAATTTAAGTCCTCTCATCACACAGAAAACATTTTGATTGAATATAGTCAATAAGAAATAGCACACATTGAATGACTTGAGAAAACAAGAGGAATTTTCCTCTGGCCTCATTTGGGTTTTATCTCTTTTATTACAGTAGCATCCTCCAGAAAATGAGCCTTGCAGATAGTTGTTGGTCTGTAGTGACTACAACACCATATTTTTTAATACAGAGGCTTGCTGACAGTCCAAAAACATAAATGTTTTAAACCATTACCAACCATCTGTTCTCTCCCACTCAAAGCATAATGTTTTATTTTCACAGGTATCAAGACATACATCCTCACTTTAGACATTTCCATGAACATCCCAAAAGCTGTAATGGTATCTGATCTTGACCCAAGTTCAGCAACTGTTGTGTTTGGTTTATTACACTATAAGCTCCTCTCCTTTTATTTTCAATGAAAGAAGAAATCAAAAAAGTTTTAAAGCCTTTGGCCAAGGCTGGTGTATACTCCATTGAAATCTGATTGCTCTTTTTTTCCCCCACCTTTTTGTTACCAGAGAGAAGCTGAGAGTTAGTGCAGCTGCAGGCTCCTCCTGATGGCATTCTTTCCCTTTCTTCCTGGTCACAAGGGTAGCATTTGGTGCTCTGAAGCAGTGCATGAAACAGCCCCGTGACTCCAGAAAATTAGTGTGGTTTGCAGAAGAATGTAACATCTTCCCAGGAAGAATTGACAAAATGGGAGACTAACAATATTCTAACCCCCAAATTAAGTAGACCTAAGACATACACATTCTTTCCCGCACAAATATTCGGTATGCGTAATATAGGGTATTATATAAGATACGAGTAAAATGTCTATCTACATAGTATCTTTATATTTGTGTTTGGGAATCTAGATGAATTTGTATATAATCGGCAGATAGACACACACCCTTCATTTTGTTCATGTTGTCATTAAAGCAAGATTTGAGGTTTTGAGTCCTCCCCCCATCCAGAATGCTTTCCCATTTGGGAATGTCTGCTTTATCTGGAACTGCAATGTTAGGATATTTTTATCACTTAAAATTAAGTCACATAATAAAAATATTTTTCCTTCAGTGTGGCCAGAACGTTGGGAAATTCTTTTTACTCAAATCTGGGTGTCCCAAAGCACTTCCGTATTTTTAAGGAAAAAGATATTGGCAATCTTGCTCACACTTTGCAAATAATGGATATGTACTTGAAGATTATCACGAACCAAAGAAAGGTGGGGCTTCTGTCTTCTTACCTGTTACACTGCTCTATACTGCCCTTGCCTTGAAGGCACAAGGGTCTCCTTACTTGCTGCCAGGATAGCATTGAAAAGAATGAACCCAAGCTATAGATAATTTTGAAAGTAAAGTTGCATTTTAAAATATGGTCTAATTTAAACCTTTGGAAAACCATAAGGATGCAATTTTTCTGTGTACTAAAAACGAATTATTGAGGGGAGACAGTTTCATCAAGTATAGGAAGCACTCTGAATTATTCATGTTAATGAGAGGAATAGAGGCAAAGATAATCCAAAATCATGGTTATTTACGAAGTCATTTGTGTTTGTCTTTGGAATGTATTACACGTTTGATTTGAAAACGATTTTCATTGTTATTGTGGGCAAGTTGCCTTTCTAATTATTTTGTTTTGTTTAGGTTAATTTTTAAATGAGCTTGCATATCTCAAACACCAAAACTGATTTATGGGGAGGTGGGGCATGTGGGCAGCCTGCCCAGAAACGAGCTGGGTGACAGAAATGAGCAAACCTGGTATGAAAACTTTGAAGTAAATTATATATAACTCCCAGAGAGGTAATCAAGACTGGATTCTATACCTACTTAATGAATTTAAGGATTAGATGTGTTCCTGGAAAAATAAAAGTCCTTCGATCAAAATTGGAGAAATTCAGTCCCACTTTGTATATAACAGAGGTGATTAATATGTTTTTGAAAAGATGATAGTGTGGGGTGCTTCTGAAAACCAAATAGGAATATTCTAACTTTTAAGTCTTTTTTTGTTTGTTTGTTTTTGTCTTATTAAATGGAAGTTTTTAAGCATGAGGTTTTCCTAAAGCATACACATGTGTATGTGTTAAAGTGATAACTCCTAAGCCTTATTTCTATATGTATGTTTCTAAAACGAAAACAGCAAGTTGCCATCAGAATAAGGGGTTTGGTCCATTTGCTCTCCGCACCTAGGCTCCAAATCAAGTTTTATCAAAAAGAAGCTCTCAAGTATCTATTGTTACCAAGGACCTGGTTAGATAAAGTAGCTGAAGTTCAGCAAGACTGCCAACTTAACAGATTTCTATTGTGTTTTTCAAAAGCTCCAGGGCAAAATTCGTTGTCGATGAAATAGTTACTTGGACAAGAAGTTGATTCACAGCATAGCACTTGTTCTTGAACACCTTGTCTGCGGTCAGTGTTCAGTTGTGTATAGATTTTGTTGAATTGTTATTTCTGTGGACTATTAGAATTTAGAAGACCTCTGTGGAGAAGGTTAGAGCTACCAAAAATATATGATTGGAAAGGCAGAGAGATAAAATCATTTTTATTTCAAGAATTCAAAGCAAAAAAGAAAACTGTGACTTTTACGACAGGGAGCAGAATGGTGCTAGAAAAGTAGATGTCCCCTTCAGATTGGTGACTGTTCTCATAATAAATGTGCTCATTCCATAAAGTGTAGGGGGACTTATTTTTTGAGGAAACATTTTTGTAGTTTTATAAGACATGGCATTTTTAAAAGACTTGACTAGACTGAGTACTTAAAAAATATATTGTGGTTGGAAATATAATTGCTACCCACAGGATATATTTTATATACATTTATTAAAGGAATCAGTTTCTTCTGATCAGCGCCTAAGTCTTAGAATCAAAATTATGCATTTTGTGATAGAGCTGGAAAGGACCTTAAAAGTAAGTTATTCCAATGCCCTTATTTTACAGTTAAGGAAATGGGGGCCCACAGTGATCCCAGTGAGCTGCTAAAGGTCACACCGGTGGTTAGTGGCAGAGTAGATACTAGAAACCTGATCTGTGCGACTCCTTATGCAGCTCCCTTGACTTAAGTTGGGTAGCTGGATGGGGGAGTTAACTCCTTCTAGCCATGATGGTATGAGCTGTACACGATAGTCATGAAATGAAGTGGTGCAGAGGTACACGCAGGAGGCTTGTGGTTTTCCTGTCTTCTGTCATTCGCTGTGGACCAAACTGTGGTTCTCAACCCTCTTAGACTCTGTCCTCTTCTTAATAACAAATATTTTGTGTCACCCCCTTAGTATCTTGAAATGTAATTAATCAATAATATAATCACTGAATATATCTGTCATGAAAAGGAACAGTAGAATAAAATTAATTTTTAGTACAATGTGCATTTCACTATGCTAATGTTTGGGGGTGACTTCACTGGAACACATAGTAAAGAAGTCAGGGGCTTCCCTGGTGGCGCAGTGGTTGGGAGTCCGCCTGTCAGTGTGGGG